AGTGCCAGGGTTTTCATGCGACGCGAGACAATACCCCCACTTCGTGGGGGGGCAGTTCAAGCTCTACCAAATATCCAAACGACTCTTCGCGACCACCCAAACCCAGCTTCCCGCCCTATGACGTTGGGACACTTCACTTCGTGGCGTGCGGACGACCGTGGCTACTACACTGGCGTGGGGTACACACCCACAGAACTTGGTCACTTATTCGGGGCGCGCGTGTGCCCAGCATCCTGCAATTGTGACATACAATACATGACACAGACAGACAGAGAGAGAGACAGAGAGCAGACAGAGAGAGAGACAGAGAGAGCGGAGTTGGTCACATTTTTGGGGCAAGTTCCTGAGATCGTCGTGTTTTTTGTTGGTCTTGCGCGCGCGAATGTCCACTTTACTTTTTTTTGCAAGGGAGTATTGAAATTTGATTATGTTAGAACAAGAAAAAGTAGCTCGCGCGAGCTCATGTAACATAAATGTTGAAAAACCATTGGTTTTGTGGGAGTCGGACAGCGCGCGCGGGATGAAATTTGGACATTTTTTTTGAAAAACCATTGGGTTTTTGATGTTTTTATGTTGAAATCGTTACGAAACCTAAGGTTCTGGAAGGATTTCGTCTTGCGCGCGCGAATGTCCACTTTACCTTATTTTTTGCAAGGGATTATTGAAATTTGATTATGTTAGAACAAGAAAAAGTAGCTCGCGCGAGCTCATGTAACATAAATGTTGAAAAACCATTGGTTTTGTGGGATTCGGACAGCGCGCGCGGAAGGACATTTTGACAATTTTTTCTTAAAAAACCATTGGGTTTTTGATGTTTTTATGTTAAAATCGCTACGAAACCTAAGGTTTTGGAAGGATTTCGTCTTGCGCGCACGAATGTCCACTTTATCTTATTTTTTGCAAGGGATTCTTGCAATTTGATCAAGTAAGAACAAGAATTTTCATTTTCTATTGTTTTTTGCAAGGGAAAGCGGGCGTCAACAAAACAACCGGATCCGGTGACAATCCACTTTTCTGAAGCTTTCGCGAAAAAATGATGAAAATGTAGCTGCGGCCTAGGCGCGGCGCAGAGGTCGCGCACCAGGGGTCCCAACAATAATAATTCTTTAGAAGGAATAATATTCAACAACGCCAACAACACCAACAACCACAAGGTTCTTAGAATCTAAGCCCGATTTGGCATGTGTTAAAACACGACGCTCCCAGCCAGAAATGTCTTATGAACATTTCGTGCAGACCACTGAAAGGTTCTGCGAGCGTTCTTGGGTGGGCCTATATGAAGGGGCCCTGGGACACACGAATAAATACACACAAATGACAGGATCCCCCATGTTTTCCTACATTTTTGTCTTCCCCCCACTCCCCATATTTTCCCATCTTTTCCTGGGGATCGCCGATGAATTGTGTCTCTGTGATTTTTTCCCCTCCTGACTGTACGCGAGCCAAGGCGCCTCGCCGCTGCTCCAAACCCGAATTCCATCACCACTCCGGGCCGGCCGGCCGGCCGCGCACACGTGACGCGCAGCTCCTGGGCCCCGGTCATCGGAGGGCGGGAAGGGTAAATCGAAGTCGGGCCTGTCCCCTTACAGGGGGATGTTCGACGAAAAATAAAATAAATGCCCCCAAAATAGTCAAACAATGGTCCAAAAATAGTCTAGGGACTATTTTTTGGGTTTTGACCTTTTTGGGGTACTTTTTGGGTTTCTGTTTTATTTTTCGACGAAAATCCCCCTGTAGGGAGACACGCCCGACATGAAGGTAAATCGAAGGGGCCCTGGGACACACAAACAAATGCGCACAAATCGCAGGATTCCCCATACTCTCCCATGTTTCCTGGGCTTCTGTCTTCCCCCCCGCTGCCCATATTCTCCCATAGTGTCTGGGGAATCGACGATAAATTGTGCCTGTATGTTTCTTTCCCTCCTGATAAATCAACCCCATGAGAGCGACGATCAAAGCGGGCCTTACGCGAGATGACATAGCGACAATACGCCGCGGCTTACGCGGGCCACCGGCGCGGCACGCCACATGGGAGAAGAGGCCACTCGCGCGCGGCCTGACGCGGGAAACTTACGCGCCAATGTCAGTGAAGACGACCCCGTGTTCTTCTGTCGCTCATGTCGCGAGGCCCGCCTGGCCGCTTACACGTCACAAGTGGCTCCCAGATCCAGGCCAGCGGAGGGCGGGACGTGGGATTCGGCCCCATGCGGCTCCTACAGAAGATGAAACCAGGACGAGAATCACAAACAAAAATTTCGAGCACCCGGAAAAGTGTCTAAGGGACACATGAAACCCTCGAGTTTCGGTACATTTTCCTGGTGCTCGAAATTCTTTCTTTTGATCAAGGCGAAAGCAGGATGGAACATCATCAGCGAGAATATCATCAGGTGAGGACACATCGAGAATCTCTGAGATCTGACTGCTCTGGAGGATGTCTCGGGCGCCGCGGCCTCGATCGCTCTGGAGCGGATGCATCCTCGCCTCGGCCCCGCCCGAATCGGCCCCATGTGGCTTCCACACCCGGGTCAGCCAGCGGGGATTGGCTGACCCCTATTGGCGCCTGCCGGAGGCGGAGGCGGAGCCGGAGGAGGAGGCGGAGGCGGAGGCGGAGGCGGAGGAGGTGGAAGAGGAGCTGAGCCCCGAGCGGGGCCTCCAGCTCCTCCGCCGGCAGCTCCGGCTCCGCTGCGGGGGCCTCCACCACGGGGTCTGCGAGCCCGAAGACGACGTCGGCCCGGGAGAGGCCGAGGGCGGCGTACTTGGCGTCCAGAAGCGAGTCTCGCCCCTTGTGATGAGCAGAAAGAGTACAGCCGAAGGAACCCTAAATAAGGAACGAGGTCCCGTTTCTATAAAAAAAAAATACACAAGAGAGAAACCCAATCAATGGTTGGTTTGAAATGGGATCGATCAACAAATCGATAAGGAGATCGAACGGGCACCCGGGAACCCGGGAATCCGGAACCCACCGAAGTCGGCCCGGAACCAATGACAAGGAACCTGGGAACCCGGAACCGGGAACCCAGGAACCCCGCCGGCTACCAAAATCGGCGGGAAACTGTCGCCAAATCTTTCAATTTCCGCTAGGACCCTTTCAGTGCATGCACTGATTGGGGAACTTCGATTTCTCATCGTAAACCTGAGGACAACCTAATGCAAGCTGTGACACAACTAGGGAGCACGGACCCCCTCCCCAACGAAAAGGGTTCCTTCTTCAGCGCCCCGACTGTACCCCTAATTCCCTGGGAGGGGACTGACATTAGTAGGAGGGCCAAGACCATTAGGGATAGGGTGTTTTTGTTCCAGATGTTCCAAACGAAGCCACCCATCTGTCCAGGGATGCCCTCAAAACCGTGGACCTAAGCTAGGCCACGAATTCACTGTGTTATTCGGGTTGGCAGATGGATTATGCTTAATGGCCTTGGGGAAGTCGCACTTCTCGGGGAGCTTGTTCGGTCCTGACAGCATCGGGTGGCTAAGCGCCTGCGGCGTGCCCTTTTTCGGAAGGACCACGTGCGAGCCCGAGGCGCCCTGTTCCACGGCGACCCCGTGGTGGGTCAAGAACTGGCGCAGGTGCGCGTCGGTGCTGCAGGCGAGGATCGTCTTTAGTCTAGAGAGGGGCACCCTGTCCCCGACGGGCTGCGGGTAGGTGCGGAATAGCATGAAGAGCACTCTGAGGCGTGCGAGGTCGGCTATGCCGCTCATGGCTACCGCGGTGAGGAAGTCCGCCTCGCGGTAGAAATGCAAGAACCTTCCAAAGTCTTCCGTCTGGAAGGCGGCATAAGCCTGCGTAGCGAAGCTAATGAGCGGGTGGCTGATCACCTCTCTATCTAGCTTAGCTAAGTGGGCCCCGATCCCCTCCGGGGAGAAGGACATGAGCAACAGAATTATGTACCTGTGCATCGCCATCTCATAAGATGAGCAATGCTCCTGCTCTTCGCCGTCGCCCTCGTCCAAGCCGAAGCCGCCCATCGCCTCAGCAAGGATGCTCTTGGCCAGCAGCTTCGCCTTCACGGCCTGGTAGGCGTTCAGCAGGGGCTCTATCGTCTGCGAGATTGCCTTGAGCCCCAACTTCGGGTCGTACTTCTCCGTGGTGTCGCCCGAGGCCGCAGCGCTATCCCTCGTCAGGAGATAGATCGTGAGCAGCTCGAAACGGAGACAGCACTCGTGCGATTCGAGGAACGTCCGCTGCGTCGTGCTGCGCGGCTGCTGGAGGTGCAGCTCGACGCGTATGGCACGAGTGCGGTCGCGGAGGTACGAATAGCACTGGATGTACGGCACCCTCTGGACGGCGAACTGAGGCTTGGGCTTCGTGTCGAAGTCCAGGATCTGTGTCATCAGGAACTGCATCGTCCTCCACAGGGCGGCCAACGTCCTCGTCTCGGAGCTCTTGTATGCCTTGTCCGCAGAGCTGCGCTGGTACTTGCGGGTGGCGAGCGCGAGGTTGACCTCCGGGTGCTTCGGGTCGGTGCCCTGCTTCCACTCGAACTTGTCCAGCTGGCGGGTCATCTCGCGCTCCTTCGCCTCGTGGCGCGAGCACATCTCGTCGAGCTGGCCTGTGATGGGCCCGCCGTTGACCATGGCGTTCTCGCCATCGTTGAAGCTAACCATGGCCACGGCGGCCTTGTCTGAGGTCGGGCGTGTCCCCCCCTTCGGGCGGATGTTGGACGACAAACAAAAAACAAAACAGATTCAAGAAGAGCCAAATAAATACTCAGCAAATCGAGCCCAGACCATTGTAGGACTATTTTTGCATATTCTTCTGATAGAGGGACACGCACAGTAGTCAAAACATGTTCAAACATAGCCAAGCAATAATCAAACACATGTCCCCAGACTAGTTTTGGACTATTTTCGAATCTTCCTCCTGCGGAGGGACACGCCCGACTCAAAGCCTTGTCCAGGTGCGTCTTGAAGCGGTCCGCCCGGGCGGCCCTCATGTGGTGCTCGTCGTTCGACAGGGGGCCCGGGGCGAGAGGCTGGGCTCTGCCGAACTGCGCCGCTCCCCGCGCTCCTGTGAATTGAGCAAGGACCGACCGTCCCGGTATTCCGATAGGCCAAAAATGTTCTAAACACATGAACAATGCTCTTCGAACAAAAACCCGATGTGTTAAAGCAAGACAGACTGACATGTTCTGAGAACATTTCGTGCAGACCACAAAAAGTTCTTAGAACATTGTTTGGTAGGCCTAATGGCGAGCTAAGACGCTTCGCCACTACTTGGGTGAAGGGGCCAAGGGGCACACATAAACAGGCACAAATCCCAGAATTCCCCTGACTTCCATATTTTTTCTGGGTGTTCGTCTTCCCCCCATCACTTCCTCTATTTTCCCAGATTTTCGTGGGAATCGACGACTCACTGTGTCTGTGTGTTTTTATACCTACTGGTACTCCCTGGACCTCTCCCAGGACGCGTTCCGACCAGGATTTCGGAGCGAATCCAGCGGTGGCGACGAGGCCCTCCCAGGAGGCTCGACAAAGCGAAAATGGGCGGAGGGTAGGGGTGTGGGTACCTTTTCCTCCTCTGAGCTCCTCCGCCCGCGGTGTAGAACCACTGGGCATACTGGTTCAGCGTCTGGTTGAAGAGGGCGCGGAACCTCTTGCCGCTGACGTTGTGGGCGCGCTGCAGCTCGTCCGCGAGCTCCTTGGTGTTGCCGCGGTAGTCCTCGAGGGGAGAAACAACAACAACAACAGCAACAACAACAACAACAGCAACAACAACAGCAACAGCAACAGCAACAACAACAACAGCAACAGCAACATCAACAGCAACAACAACAACAACAGCAGCAACAACAACAACAGCAACAACAACAACAACAGCAACAACAACAGCAACAGCAACAGCAACAACAACAACAACAACAACAACAACGCCAACAACACCAACAACACCAACCACAACAACAACAACAACAACAACAACAACAACAACAACAACAATTACTAGCACGTGGGGACACTCCGTTCTCACCAGTGCCAGGGTTTTCATAGGAGGCGGGCAATACCCCCACTTTGTGGGGGGGCCGGTTCAAGCTCTACCAAATTTCCAAACGACTCTTCGCCACCACCCACACCCAGCTTCCCGCCCTATGACGTTCGGACACTTCACTTCGTGGCATGCGGACGACCGTGGCTACTATTCAGGGCCCCGCGGCCGACGACGACGGCGTGCGCGCGCGAAGAAAAAACGAATGTGTCCCGCATGGTATTATTTGACAGGGATGATGGCCCTGGCAGGTGCGCAACCGTTGTTGCAGAAGTTCGAAAAAGTTGCTCGCAAAAGCCCGTTTGACAGAAATGTTTAAAAAGTGTTGGGTTTCCTACGAATCCGCAAGAGCGCGCGGGATGAAATTTTGACAATTTTTTTTGAAAAACCATTGGTTTTTTGATGTTTTTATGTTAAAATCGCTACGAAAACTAAGGTTTTGGAAGGATTTCGTCTTGCGCGCGCGAATGTCCACTTTACCTTATTTTTTGCAAGGGATTCTTGAAGTTTGGTTATGTTAGAACAAGAAATGTCCACTTTAGCTTATTTTTTGCAAGGGAAAACCGATCGTAACAACACAACCGGATCCGGACTCCCCCGTTTTGCCTGAGACTTCCTAACGAAAATGATGAAAATGAGGCTGCGGCCTAGGCGCGGCGGGGGGGTCGTGCACCAGGGGTCCCAACAATAATTATTCTTTAGAAGTAATAATGTTCAACAACAACACAAATATAATATGTGGGAATTCTGCGCGGATTTCTTGGACCGGCGCCGGGCCCCGCTTCCTGGCGCGCGCAGCGCGCCAGGGGGGCGGGAGGCGCCGCCAGGGGGGCCCAGCGCCAAGTCAAGAAAGCCGCGCTGAGCTCCGAAAGGTTGTGCTTCTGGCGTCTTCTCTCCCTCGAGTCGGCGGCGAGCGAGGGAAGTGAGAAGATGAAGAAGAATAAGGAACCCTCCTCAAAAGGCGGCGGACTTCTCAAAAGCCCTCCGGCCTTCTGAGAGACACTTCCTGCATCTTCGGGGAAATGCTGGGAGACTCCCGAGAATTCTGAAAAGGCCTTCTCCTTCTCACTTCTCCCCCAGGCTGGCCGGCTGGCCGCCGACGGAGTCCTGCATGGACATGCGCTCGTCCACGAACCGCCGCACGCTCTCCCGGGGGTCCTCGGCCTTCCCCTTGCCCTTGCCGTCCTTGCCCTTGCCCTTGCCCCAGCAGGCCGAGCCCTGCTGGGTGGCGACATCCAAACCCGAACTACCCCCCCAGCGACCGACTCTCCTGAGTCGACGGGAGGCGAGCGTAGGCTTCGGATGTCGCCATGTGCTCGACGATCACGCTACCCTTCGGTCGGGCATGTCCCCCTACAGAGGGATTTTGGACGCAACCAACTATATCCCAAACATATAAACTAGAACAACAATTCAAAAACAGTAAAACATCGTCTCAAGACTACTTGTTTGCTATGTTTGAAAATTCGCCCTGTAGAGGGACAGTCCCGACTTAACCCTACCCCCGCCGCCCATCGAATTTCGGGCGTTTGCAGAGCTGGGTTTAGTGGGACCTGGCTTAATGATGTGTACCGGTGAACGCCCCCCCCCCGTCCCGCTCCACTAAGCGGAACTGCCGTCACCGGGACAAGCACCAGCTATACGGCAAACCTGGTTTAGCGACTCTGGCAAATCTAGGGGCTGCGTGGCCCTACTACTAACCTTAGGTCGGGCCTGTTCCCCTGCAGGGGGATCTTGGAGGGAAAACAAATACCCCAAATACCCCAACAAATGTCCAAAAATCGTCAAAATCAGTCCCCAGACTATTGTTTGACTGTTTTTGAATACTCCCCCTGTAGAGGGATCTTGGAGGAAAACTGAAAACATAACAAACACATACCAAAGAAATTGTCAAAAATGGTCAAACATAGTCCCGAGGGACAGGCCCGACTTCATACTGACCGGGTCCCCTTTCCTGGGGTACTGGCCACACCTGAGAACTGCCCGACTCTGCGCTCGGCGAGGGCGGGGCTCGGACCTGAAGGGGGCCCTGGGACACAAAAAAAATACACATAAATAACAGGATTCCCCATATTTTCAATTTTTTCCTGGGTTTTAGTCTTCCCCCCCCACTTCCCATAGTTTCCCACATTTTCTGGGTTGTAGCCTTCCCCCCACTTCTCATATTTTCCCATGTGTTCCCATGGGGATCGACGATTCATTGTGTCTGTGTGTTTTACCTAACAGCGAAGACTGATAGGTTTTTAGTAGTCTCAAAAGAGAGCATCATGACTCCCCAGGGGGGTCTGGGCAGATGCCGGACGGGTGCCGCGGGAATCCGGGGCCGCGGGAATCCCGGGACTCCTTTTTTAGCCAACAGTAACGCACTTCGTGGTCTTCGAGTCTCAGAACTCCATTGCTGGGCATGATTTTGAATGCCCGGAGCCAACTGTAGGCCACTTCGTGTTCTTCGAGTTCCCAGAACTCCATTCCTGGGCATGATTTTGAATGCCTGGAGCCAACTGTAGGCCACATCGTGCTCTTCGAGTTCCCAGAACTGCATTCCTGGGCATGATTTTGAATGCCCGGAGCCAACTGTAGGCCACTTCGTGGTCTTCGAGTTTCCACAACTCCATTCCTGGGCATGATTTTGAATGCCCGGAGCCAACTGTAGGCCATTTCGTTTTTTTCGAGTTCCCAGAACTCCATTCCCCGGCCACATTTTGAATGCTGAGGCAGGCTGATGCTGAGGCTGAGGCAGACTGAGGTTGAGGCCGAGGCTGAAGACAGACTGAGGCTGAGGCTGAAGCAGGCTGAGGCTGAGGCTGAAGCAGGCTGAGGCTGAGGCTGAGGCAGGCTGATGCTGAGGCAGCCTGAGGCTGAGGTTGAGGCTGATGCAGGCTGAGGCTGAGGCAGGCTGAGGCTGAGGCCGAGGCTGAAGGGCAGACTGAGGCTGAGGCTGAGGCAGGCTGAGGCTGAGGCTGAGGCTGAGGCTGAGGCTGAGGCTGAGGCTGAGGCAGAGGCAGGCTGATGCTGAGGCAGGCTGAGGCTGAGGCTGATGCAGGCTGAGGCTGAGGCAGCCTGAGGCTGAGCCGAGGCTGAAGGCAGACTGAGGCTGAGGCTGAAGCAGGCTGAGGCTGAGGCTGAGGCAGGCTGAGGCTGAGGCTGAGGCAGGCTGATGCTGAGGCAGGCTGAGGCTGAGGCTGAGGCTGATGCAGGCTGAGGCTGAGGCAGGCTGAGGCTGAGGCCGAGGCTGAAGGCAGACTGAGGCTGAGGCTGAAGCAGGCTGAGGCTGAGGCTGCAGGCTGAGGCTGAGGCTGAGGCAGGCTGGCTGAGAGCTGCAGGCTGAGGCTGAGGCCGAGGCTGAGGCTGAAGGCAGACTGAGGCTGAGGCTGAAGCAGCTGAGGCTGAGGCTGAGGCAGGCTGAGGCTGAGGCTGCAGGCTGATGCTGAGGCAGGCTGAGGCTGAGGCTGAGGCTGATGCAGGCTGAGGCTGAGGCAGGCTGAGGCTGAGGCCGAGGCTGAAGGCAGACTGAGGCTGAGGCTGAAGCAGGCTGAGGCTGAGGCTGAGGCAGGCTGAGGCTGAGGCTGAGGCAGGCTGATGCTGAGGCAGGCTGAGGCTGAGGCTGAGGCTGATGCAGGCTGAGGCTGAGGCAGGCTGAGGCTGAGGCCGAGGCTGAAGGCAGACTGAGGCTGAGGCTGAAGCAGGCTGAGGCTGAGGCTGAGGCAGGCTGAGGCTGAGGCTGAGGCAGGCTGATGCTGAGGCAGGCTGAGGCTGAGGCTGAGGCTGATGCAGGCTGAGGCTGAGGCAGGCTGAGGCTGAGGCCGAGGCTGAAGGCAGACTGAGGCTGAGGCTGAAGCAGGCTGAGGCTGAGGCAGGCTGAGGCTGAGGCTGAGGCTGAGGCAGGCTGATGCTGAGGCAGGCTGAGGCTGAGGCTGAGGCTGGCTGGCAGGCTGAGGCTGAGGCAGGCTGAGGCTGAGGCCGAGGCTGAGGCAGACTGAGGCTGAGGCTGAAGCAGGCTGAGGCTGAGGCTGAGGCAGGCTGAGGCTGAGGCTGAGGCAGGCTGATGCTGAGGCAGGCTGAGGCTGAGGCTGAGGCTGATGCAGGCTGAGGCTGAGGCAGGCTGAGGCTGAGGCCGAGGCCGACGGCAGACTGAGGCTGAGGCTGAAGCGGGCTGAGGCTGAGGCAGGCTGAGGCTCAGGCTGAAGCTGAGGCAGGCTGAGGCTGAGGCTGAGGCTGATGCAGGCTGAGGCTGAGGCAGGCTGAGGCTGAGGCCGATGAGGCTGAGGCTGAGGCAGGCTGAGGCTGAGGCTGTGACTGCGCTTGCCGTTGCCACTGCGACTGTCATCGCGAATGCGACTAGTTACGACTGCGAGACCAACAGAATTCTACAACTGGATTCTCATCTGAATCTAAAGGGGAATGCTTCCAGATGTGCTCTTACACATGGCTGTTAGGTTGCCTTGCCGGGATCATTTTCCCTCCTGAGGATCTCCCGCCGCCCACCTGCGCGGGCCCCGGGGACGGGGACGAGGTCCGCGAGCGGCTGCCGCGCCGCCTGCGGGACCCGGAAGAGCTGCTGCGCCGCTTCCGGCGCCCGCGCGACCTGCTCCGCGAGCGGCTCCGGCGGCGGCTGCGGGAACGCGACCGGCTCCGCCGGCCCCTGCCCGAGTGACGCCGGTCGCCGTCCCCGCCGCTGAAGCCGCCGCCGAAGCCGCTGTACGGGGGCCCACCCTTCGCCTTGGACGTCGGCAGGGTTACGGACAGAAGAGGAGAAAACGCCATAAGCATACACTTCTGGCGCTCCGCGCGGATCTCTTGAATTCGCGCCGGACCCCCCTGCCTGCGCGTGGAGTGCGCCAGGGGCGGCGCCAGAGGCGCCGCTGGGAGGGGCCCCAGCGCGGATCCAAGAAATTCGCGCGGGGCGCCAAACAGGGCTGAACCTAAACGGTGTTTTTCATTTTCGTTATGTGTTCGTTCTCCCTCGTTTTGTCTTCAATCCATCTCTACCGCAAAGCGAAGTCGAAGCGAAAACGGCCCACGACATCGCTAAAACACCGCTTGGGTCCAGCCCTGGCGCCAAAAGCTTATGCTTGTGGCGTTTTTTCTTCTTCGAATGGAGAAGCCCTTCCCCTTGCCCTTGCAGCCAGGCGGCACAGCCCCGCCGGAGGGCGGGAGGTTGGCTCGGATCTCGTCCGCTGTCGGCAGGGCGGCCACGTCCCAGTTCTTGTTCCACAGCTCCCCCGTCTTCACCCACTGCTGCACCCAGTGCCGCAGGTACTTGTGCGTCTCCTTCTGCAGCTCCTGGTCCTAGAGAGGAAGGAAAAGCCAAGTAAACAGAAGCTTTCGACCGTCCGCGCGGATTTCTTTTATTCCGCTGGGAACCCCTCCCTGGCGCGCGGAGTGCGCCAAGGGCGGCCCCGGAAGCGCCCCCAAGAGGCTCCAGCGCCAATCCGAGAAATCCGCGCGGACCTCCGAGTTTTTATGCTCATGTCATTGTTCGTTCTCCGAGGTCTGGCTCCCCAGACTGCGGGTTCATGCTCTCGAACAGGCGCTTCAGCCACCTCTGCAGCGCAGGGGGGAACTGCGGCCCGGCTTTGGCCGGGCCTTTGCCGGCCAAGCCGCCCACCTTGCCGGCCATGCCGCCCTTGCAGCCTGCCATGCCACCCTTGCACCACGCCGCGCCGCCCTGGCCCTTACAGCCAGACATGCCGCCCATCATACTCTGTCCCGCCAGGGTCATGCCGCCCTTGTGGCCCTGCTGCAACCCTGGGGTCGCCCCTTTGTTTAAACCCTTTAGGGGGAAACCCTTCAGGGTCAGGCCGTTGGACCCCAGGGTGCCTGGGGTCCTTGGCTTGTTGAAGTGGTTCCACGCCAGAGGGGTGGCACCTACAGCGCCGTTGGCATTAACGGACGTGCCCGTCATTGAGTTCCCAGCGGGGAGCGATGCGTCTTGCATCGAAGCGTCCTGCTGCTCCTTGTCCGTCCCAGCACCACTTCCAACGGCCCCAGAGCACATGGCCTCGTGTCCACCGCCAAACCCCGCGACCATCGGGCTGCTAGTGGGTCTGATGATGCCTGGAACGGTGCCAAAGCCAGGTCGCATGCCCATGCCATGCGCTCCAAGCCGAGGCCGCAAGTAGCCCTGTTGCATCTGCATCTGCTGATGCAGCAGCCGGGCTTGCTGAATCTGCTCCCACTGGCTGGCCTGTGGCGCTACCGACGTCTGGTCGTGCTGCTCCGCGCCAACATCTTGAGCTGACGACGCCTCGAGTCCGGCAGTGGCAGCCTCGGCGCTCTTCTTTGCATGCTCCTGGTGAAGTTGTTTCACGCACTGGGTGTAGAATCTCCAGACGAGCATCTGCAAATCATCCGTCTGGCCCATGTCCGTCAGCTGCTGGCGGTACTCGTTCACCGCCTGCTCGATCTGCTTCTGCACGGCCTGCGGCAACTGCTTCAGCATCCCCGCCGTCACCTGCGCCTCCGCCTGCATCTCCTGCGCGGAGGCTGCTGGCGACATGCTGGGCGCAGCCGCCATGGCGGCAACGGGAGGAGGAAGGGCGAGGAGGACGAGGAGGCAGCCCGAGGAGGCAACCCGAGGAGGAGGAGGAGGAGGAGGAGGGGCGAGGATCACGAGGAGGAGGGGCGAGGAACACGAGGAGGAAGCGAGGAGGCAGCCCGAGGAGGAGGAGGAGGCGGGGCGAGGAGGACGAGGAAGAGGCGAGGAAGGGCGATGAGGAACCCGGAGCAGAGGGGCCCGCAGACACCCCGCGCGCCCCGCGCCGGCGGGCCGGGGAGGGGCGGCGCCCCAGCCCTGCGCTGCGGGGGGGTGGGCGCCGGGCCGCCGCGCGGGCTCGAGCCAAAGGCTGCGGAAAGCCCGCGCGCGCCAACCCGCCGGCGCGGTGCCACGAGGGCCCCGCGGCGGCGGGGCCCTCCCTGGACGGCACCGCGCGGGAGGAGGGAGGAGGAGGGGAGGAGGAGGAGGGAGGAGGAGGAGGAGGAGGAGGAGGAGGAGGAGGAGGAGGAGGAGGAGAGGAGGAGGAGGAGGAGGAGGAGGATTGGAGGAGGAGGAGGGAGGAGAAGGAGGAGGAAGAGGAGGAGGACGAGGAGGAGGATGGAGGAGGAGCAGTGTAAAGCCAAGAGTCATCAACGATTTTAATTCCAAGCTCCCTCTTCATACGCCCCCACACCGGTTCATTTCCATTGCGGGAATTGCCTCGTTGGAAAACAACCTCTTGAAAATCCTGAAGCATGCCAAAACATTGTTCTCGGGACTTCAACGCCACGCATCAACCTGACTGCTGCGTCTTGACGATATGGAATCGTGCCATAGCGCCATGTTGGGGACTTCAACACCGCGAATTCACATAACTGTTGCACCCGCATGTTCCTGACTCCTTCCGAAACACACTTTCTAGTACGTTGATCCTACCCGTAAGCTCTTGCAAATGCTCAAAACGAACGAATGTGCGCGGCCCTCAGGCGAGAACCACATGTTGAAAACGGCCCGCCCTCAATCCGTGAAACACTTGCAAATGTTGAAAACGCATGTGCGCGGCGCAAAGGCGAGAACCACATTTTGAAAACGACCCGCCCTCAATCCGTAATGTCTTGCAAATGTTTGAAACGAATGTTCCTCTTAAGAGCCCAAGGACGCGCCCAGAGCCTCAACGGGAGCCGTCACCGCAACCCCGAGGCCGTCGGAAGCCGGAATGCATGTCGGTCGGAAGCCGGAAGGCATCACGATTCCAAACATCTGAAATGAAATGAAATATCCCGGCAAAGCAACCTAACAGCGATGTGTATAAGCATATCTGGAAGCAGTCCCCTTAAGATTCAGGCGAGAATCCAGTTGTAGAATTCTGCTGTTCTCGCAGTCGCAGTTGCATTCGCAATGACAGTCGCAGTGGCAACGGCCTTAGGATCCAATGGAATCCTAAGGATTCCTATGGATTCCTAGGGCATCCTTAGGCATCCTTAGGAATCCATAGGAATCCCTAGGAAACCTTAGGAATCCTTAGGAATCCTGATTCCTAAGGATTCCTATGGATTCCTAAGGATTCCTAGGGAATCCTAAGGATTCGCCTGCCTGAGCCTCAGCCTCAGCCTGCCTCAGCCTAAGCCTCAGCCTGTCTCAGCCTCAGCCTGCTTCTGCATCAGCCTCAGCCTCCGCCTGCCTCGGCTTGCCTCGGCCTCAGCCTCAGCCTGCCTCGGCCTCAGCCTCAGCCTCAGCCTGCCTCAACCTCAGCCTCAGCCTGCCTCAGCCTCAGCCTGCATCAGCCTCAGCCTCAGCCTGCCTCAGCCGCAGCTTCGGCCTCAGCCTCAGCCTCAGCCTCAGCCTGCCTCAGCTTCAGCCTCATCGGCCTCAGCCTGCCTCGGCTTACCTCAGCCTCAGCCTCAGCCTGCCTCGGCCTCAACCTCAAGCCTCAGCCTGCCGCCTGCCTCAGCCTCAGCCTGCATCAGCCTCCGCCTCGGCCTACCTCAGCCGCAGCTTGCCTCAGCCTCAGCAACTGCCTCAGCCTCAGCCTCAGCCTGCCTCAGCCTCAGCCTCAGCATGAGCCTGCCTCGGCTTGCCTCAGCCTCAGCCTCAGCCTGCCTCGGCTTCAGCCTCAGCCTCAGCCTGCCTCAGCCTCAGCGTCAGCCTCTCAGCCTCAGCCTGCATCAGCCTCAGCCTCAGCCTCAGCCTGCCTCAGCCTCAGCCTGCCTCAGCCTCCTGAGCCTGCCTCGGCCTCAGCCTCAGCCTGCCTCAGCCTGCATCAGCCTCAGCCTCAGCCTCAGCCTGTCTCAGCCTCAGCCTGCCTCAGCATCAGCCTCAGCCTCAGCCTCAGCCTGCCGAGTCGGCTTGCCTGGGCTTCAGCCTTAGCCTGCCTCGGCCTCGGCCTCAGCCTGCCTCGGCCTCAGCCTCGGCCTGCCTCAGCCTCAGCCTGCATCAGCCTCAGTCTCAGCCTGCCTCAGCCGCAGCTTGCCTCAGCCGCAGCCACTGCCTCAGCCTCAGCCTGCCTCAGCCTGCCTCGGCTTGCCTCAGCCTCAGCCTCAGCCTGCCTCGGCCTCAGCCTCAGCCTCAGCCTGCCTCAGCCTCAGCCCCTCGTCCTCGGCCTGCATCAGCCTCAGCCTCAGCCTCAGCCTGCCTCAGCCTCAGTCTCAGCCTGCCTCAGCCTCAGCCTGCCTCAGCCTCAACTTCAGCCTGCCTCGGCCTCAGCCTGCGTCAGCCTCAACCGCAGCCTGCCTCAGCCTCAGCCTCAGCCTGCCTCGGCGTGCTTCAGCCTCAGCCTCAGCCTCAGCCTGCCTCGGCCTCAGCCTGCCTCAGCTCGGGCATTCAAAATATGACACATGACTGGTGTTCGTGGGAACGCGAAGATCACGAAGTGGCCCACAGTTGGCTCCGGGCAATCAGAATATGGTACAAGAATTGTGTTCCGGGGCCACGAAGAACACGAAGTGGCCTACAGTTGGCTCCGGGCATTCAGAATGTGGCCTGGGAGTGGTGTTCTGGGAACACGAAAAATACGAAATGGCCTGCAGTTGGCTCTGGGCATTCAAAATTTGGCCTGGGAGTGGGGTTCTGGGAAGACGAAGAACACGAAGTGGCCTACATTTGACTCCGGGCATTCAAAATGTGGCCTGGGAGTGGTGTTCTGGGAAGACGAAGAACACGAAGTGGCTTACAGTTGGCTCCGGGCATTCAAAATGTGGCCTGAGAGTGGAGTTCTGGGAACACGAAGAACACGAAGTGGCCCACGGTTAGCTCCGGGCATTCAAAATGGTGGCCTGGGAGTGGTGTTCCGGGAGTGGATGCCTAAGGATTGCAAGAAATCCATCAGAATTTCTACGGGTTCCTGGGGTTGCTGGTTCCGTCCGGTTCCTTGTCCGGATCCCGCCCAGACCCCCTTGCTGCGTCAAGATGCTCTCTTTTGATCCCACTAGAAACCGATCAGCAAAAGCTGCTCGGTAAAAAGAAGGGCACTCTGTTTCGATGGCCATGAGCATGACCGACATTTTCCGTCCAAAGAACCATTGAGGCACAGGCAAAATGTCTTCACGACGCACAGTCCCGAGCTCGGCATCTTGGGTGGCCAGTGGGTGGGGGAGCTTGAGCAAACAGCGGCCGCAGGCAAGCATTGACTGGCCCTGAAACGCGACATCACGGCGACGCTTCAGGGCTGTGTGCAATCGCATACTGTGTCCGACGGGCGCGCAATCGGGACGAGAGGAACACACAATAATATTACACATTCCACTTAAAAGCCCAACAACGCGGCCAGAGCCTCAAAGGGAGCCGTCACCGCCACCCCGAGGCCGCCGGAAGCCGAGTTGCATGTCGATCGGAAGCCGAAAGGCATCACGATTCCAAACATCTGAAATGAGAAAGACGGGAACTCGTTTTTCGATGGTCATGAGCATGGCCGACATCTTCCGTCCAAAGAAACAGTGAGGCACAGGCGAGCTGTCTTCATGATACACAATCCCGAGCTCGGCATCACATGTCGCCCAGACTGGGTAACTGGGCTGAATGCCGGAGAACACGGGGGGGGGGGTAGGGCAGGCAGAGCAAGATTTGGCGGAGCCTCATCCGCTAGTGGCTTCAGCAGCTCGGACGTGAGAAAGAATGACATCTGCAAACTGGCCAACTGAACAATTCATTCTGGCGATCTGTTTTGTATCTAGTTTGGCGTACTGCTTCAGAAGCTTGGCGCGTCGCTCGTAGCGGGTCACGCTCTTCTTCGCAGCCCAGCGCCCACGGCGCCTTATCTTCTCCAAGCTGCGGTGCTTGTGATAGATGTCATGAGAAGGGCCTGCGTGGCGCGCCGTGCGCGGCGCGATGTTCAGCTTGGCGTAGCCGCGCTCGCGCGGGGCATCGCGGAAGCCCCTCTCGTGCTGTGCGAGGGTCAAGCGGGGAAAGAGGGGGGCGGCTGGGTCAGCGGCCGCGCGCGCCAGCGCTGGGCCACCCAGACACCCATATCCAACAACACCTCCTGCGGGGCGGGGTCCTTCACGACCTCTTTGGCGCGCTTGGCCCAGCCGGCTAGGGCGCCCTCCACGATGCCAGGATGGGCCCTCTCTAGCTTGTAGTTGTCCGAATGTAGCAACAAGTGCCCGAAGAAAACTGCACGCCCGACGGGCGGCCATGCCCTTGTCGATGCGCATTGAAGAAATATTCTTTCACTGAGAAGCCGATGCTCTGATTGCAGACTGGTCGCCGGTGCTCCACGGCCCATTTGAAGAAGCGCTGAACTTCGTGACGGTGAATGTCTTCCCCCTTCTCGCCAGCCGTGCTCTCCTGAAGAAACCGATCAGGCGGCGCGGGCGACCGCGTCACCACCTCCTGGCGCCTCCGAGCCTTCTGCCGCTGCGGCCCAGGTAGGCGGGCGTCGCCCGAACCTGAGGCGGCGCGTCCTGATGTAGATTTCAGCGCGGTCGAGCCCCTGCGAGCCATCGCCCCTCGCAACTTCTTGCGGGGGGGAGACGGCGCCATGGCGTCTGACAAGACGCGCAAGTGCTTCATCACCTGATCAAACAGCAGATTCAGTGGTCCCTGAG